AAAAAAAATCCACATAATCGTCTTTTACATGATGGATTTTCCATCTAATATTGAAAATGGAAAATAATCAATCATTTAGCAAAAAAAATAAGATACATTAGCACTTAACTAACAGAATGAAGAAATTGGTGCTGAAAATTGAGGTTAAAAGACATTTTTTGTACTTTTTAAAGTTCAAGGATGGATTTATTCAAAAATAAAAGTTGAGGGACCAATTCAGATATTTAACCTAAAAAATTACGTTAGCCACATGAGCATCACCAACGAATTAACCTTTAAATAAAAAAAAGTTGAAAGTTGACATCTGTATTTAAAAAAAATTGAAAAAAAAAATTGAAAGTTGACACTTTTATTTAAAAACTAATAAAATTAACATCTTTAAATAGAAAAAAATGTAAAGTTGACATCCGTATTTACATTTTTACTCAAGTTTTATATATATAAATATATTTAGCATAACTAGATATAGACTATTTTTTTACATTTGTTTTTACTTAAAATAAAATTATTGTGTCTTTATAAGAATTAAACACAAATGATCCATTTACTTAAGTCATAAATATTTTCTTTATATTTAAATGGTTCTTATAATTCAAAATTCAAAAATAAAATTTTGTAAAAAAAATATTTATATCATATTTAACATTTTTCAAAAGTTGAGGGATAACTGCTCCCCGTTGTCCTGTGCAGGCTCCATCCCTGCCGTCGTTAGAAACTAAAACTGTTTTAAAAAAATAAAAATAAAAAATAAAAACCCAAAAATCCATCGGTCCTTGATATATCTTCTCCCTTCTGCCTCTTCCTGCTTCCCCCGCCCCCCTCCCTTTAATTGCAAGTTAATGCCTAATTAAAGATACGTCAGCCAAAAAATAATTACGTTAACATTGTTAATGACATCCATTAACTGTAGTCAAGTGGTGGATGATAATTGATCTTTTCTCTGGAGTTGGGGATTTTTAATTTTTTATCATGGTTTAATCTAATAGTAAATACATTTTTAATTATAAATTTATGTTAAAAAATAAAAATTAATTTTTAATACGTTAATTTTTAATTAATTTTTTTTATTTTAAAAAATATTAAATTTAATGTTAATTTTTATATTTTTAATACATATTTATAACAAAAAAAATCTTTAACTCATTTAACTAAAATAAATAAAAAAACCATTTATTATTATTTATAAAAAATAAATAAAAGGATGACAATGACTTTGTTATCTTTTGGTAAAGTTTTGGGAATTTTCAATGAAATTGAGTCAGATTAATAATATGGTAATAAATAGCTGCACGCCAGTGTTAATTAGAATGACATTTAAGTACTTCCTCTCTGTTGGTTTTGGATTTTATCTTAAGATTAATTAATGAATTACTTTTTCAAGTTGGATTTACTTGTCTTATTTTGATTATTATATAAAATTTAAGTAGATAATTTTATATAAAAAATAAATAATAATTTTAAATTTTGTTATATGTAATATTTGTTAAATATTTTTATTTATATAAAAAATATTTAATTATCATTCATTTGTTATACAAAATTATCATATCAAACTCTAAAT